AAGGGAAGCATGAAACAACTTACAATGCTACAAACAATTCATGCTTTGCTAAATTTCTATCTGCTACGTCTGAGGAACTTTTTTGCCATCCAGAACTTCCTCTCCCAACATCAACAGTTGTACTCTTCCCTTCATTTGGCTCCTTTGCACTTTAACTTCCATGTACATGCTCCTGACATCCATAACTTATTCCTGTTTCTCACATAGTACTGTAGCAAACAGCCCCTCTCACACACGCTTTGGTCAGTAGTTCCTTCAAGATTTAAATATTTGCACAAGATTATGCACAGCCTGATGGCCCCACAGTCGCTCCTTATTTATAGGTATTTCTGTACTTACATATTCTCCAAGCATATTTTCAAAACTTACCACCCATTCAGAAAGCTGTTAAAGAGCATTGCTATTTGACAAGCAAGCAAATGTGGTATTTTCTATTGTGACTAGGAAAGAAACTATTGCATTTTCCTGGAATAAGTGCTTTAAACTCTTAATTTGCTTCTGTCTCGACTCCTGTAGTTCTTGTTTCCATACACTAAATCTCATTCTTGGCTTTCCTTCCACGGTTCTTTAGCCAATACATCTACTCTAAATCTCTCCCTTACACTCATTGCATCATTTCCCACTTATTTAACCTTGCTTTTTCTATTCAAGTGTCTGGAAAAATTTTCTCTTGCTTTTTGACCATGATCAGCAAAGACAACTTAGAAATAAATATCCCAAGCTCTCCTGCCAGCCCCACTCCTCATTCCTTTCGTTTCTCTGGCACTGTGGTCCATGGCTGCAGGCCTTCCTCAGTCTTTTGCCTAAACATCAGCTCTGAAGCCTTGTTTAAGCTCAGCCACAATGTCAGCACCATATTCCCTTCAGAGTATGCTTTCTTCTCATCTTAGAAAAATGCAGTCTGAGTGCAAAGCTTATTAAATATGTACTGAAACCAATAAACCTCCAAGTGACAGACAAACTACCTTCTCCTCAGGTAACCTCCTCAGAAGGTTACTTCTCCCTCCCCAGAGAGGCACAAGACCTCTCATTTATGTGATGTCCTGAAAACATGCAGATCTGCACTACAATAACGACTTTATACAAATCACATGCTACAGGGCTTCAGCCACTTGCCTGGTGAACCAGGAAGGGAATATTTCCCTCTGTACAGTATTGATCAGATTTTTTTTATGACTTCTTCATCTTCTAAAGGATCAGCAGGAGGTGGGGGACAGGACAAATGCAGTTGATATTTACCTGGATAATGTGGCCATCAAATTTGTTACCAAATTTGGCAACAAATATTATTCCAGTCTTTCACTGTCAGTCTAGTGAAGCATTAATTTTCTCTTACCTTCTTGGATTGTATATTAGTACATCTCATCTCTGCACCTGCAATGTACTTCCACTTCTTCCACTTTCTGAGGTACGGCTCCCATCTCTTCAACTTACAATACCAGAAATGTTTTCATTTGTCTTAAATTATTGGCATAAATATATGTTGTAGAAATTTAATGGCGTATACAGGAAACCAGGACATGGAATTTAACTTCACCCTTCCTCAACTCAGCACTGGTGAGACACACCTGGAGAGCCGTGTCCAGGTCTGGGCTCCCCAGCACGAGGCAGACATGGACTTACTGCAGTGAGGTCAGCAAAGGACCATGAAGGTGATTAAGAGACTGGAACACTTGACCTATGAGGAGAGATGGAGAGAACTGCGACTGCTCAGCCTGGAGAAAAGGTGTACAAACACTTGGTGGGGGGAGTAAAAACGATGAAACCAGGCTCTTCTCAGCGAGGCCTGGCAACAGGACAAGAGGCATTAGGCACAAACTGAAATCCAGGGCATTTTTAAATGTAAGAAAAAAAACTTTTTTACTGTAAGAGCTGTCAAGCACTGGCACAGGCTGCCCAGAGAGGTTGTGTAGTCTTCATTCTTACAGATACTCCAAACCTGACTGTACATGGCCCCAAGCAACGTGCTCCAGCTGAGCCTGTGTGAGCCACTGGGTTGGAGAGGCCGATCTCAGTGGTGCCTGCTAGCCTCAGTGAGTCTCGATTCTATAACAATACAGGCTCCTCTGGCATAAAACCCTGGGAAATTAGTCCAGGTCACAGTGTTCAACTGCTTATTTAAGGCAACAGAGATTATTAAGTCCCCAAACGCTGAGAGAAATGGACTCGCTCGATCACAGCATGGTTGTCTACATCAACTGTCTCAGGGTTGTAATAGCTAAATATGAAACTGTCACCTCCTGCTCAAGTCTTGCTGCTGTAAGAATCACCTAACTGGGAGTGCAGATCCAAACCTCCAGCAAACGACCACACCAGGCTCTGCCCAAAAGGGAGAGGGGCCCCTGGGAAGCCCAGAGCAACTAGTGATGGACACTAGTGGGACTCCAAAAAGGAGCAGACGCTGTCATGTCTGCCACCATGGCTGCAGGCTTCCCATTATTGGCAAAATCAGTCCTTTAGCACGTTCTTTGCCAAGTTACTTTACCTAAAACAAGCTTCTGCCAGGGATGGCAAGGCCAAGGCAGCCCTTCCCTTTGCAATCATGTGCTGTGGCAGATTACTGCCCAGAGCACACAGCTATCTGTCAGCTTCATGAAACCTGGTGTCGGACGTAAAACTGAAACTGCTCTCAAGTTATTTTAAAAATATATAAAAAATCAGAGCCTCACGTATATTTTATAACGCTTACCAGGCTTGATACTGCAAAGTCAGCTCAGCAAGACACAAAAGCCAACCCCTACCTTTAGCTCCATCAACTCCTCCTTTGTGTGACCCCGTGAAGGTAGCTGCAAGTTCTCTGCATTTTCACGTACATATGAACATAGGAAAACATGTGAACATAGGCATCTTTTTTCCTAAATCACTGAAGAGCCAGAAAGTTCATCTTTTTGCATGCCTAAAATGGCCACTTTTAGGGGGATCAAAAATCATTTCAAAAGCAACTAAGAAAGCAATCTGCAAACTATTTTCCACAGTTGTTGCAGTGCTTGTGGTTTCTTAACATTTGGAATAGCTGATTCTCACATCCCTCTCTTTGTGAAGGAAGTGGGAAGATTCATGGATCTGACTAATCTGAGCAACAGTATCTTGCAAAAAGGAAGGGAAACTGATTTCTAAGGACTAAAATTGTAAATTCAGTTTGAACCTAGAGAGTCCCTAAATTTTAATTCTTTTTACAATCCCAATGCCACTGTTTCACTAAAATCCAGAGCTAAAGTGAGAGAGGGCAGAGATCAGGACTGTGCCAACAAGCAGCATCTTTTGGTGCCTGTTCTTAGCCCTGTTTTTGGACCTCAATTTTACTGGCCACATTGTCAGAAATTGAAATTATACCCATACTCCTCTAGAAGTTCCAGAAGATGGAGCAATAAAATAGGCTGTCTAGGAAAATGCTGAAAGAATTTAGATCCATACCCAATAGTTGGCAATATTGGCAACAAGCTTAAGTAAGGTTAAACCTCCTGCAGTTTTGGGGGAAACCCTGGATGAAATTTGAATGATGCCATCTTCAGAAAACATGTGCTAAGAGCCAATGCACTTAATCTCCTTTTAGGAACATTTAACTATAGTTTAAACTATCCCTTGGAGCCAGTCCAGAACCAGCCCTATGGTAGGTAGGACACTGGGGCTTGCTCCAGAAAAGAGCCAGGCCATTTTACCTGGACACATAGGACATTGCTATTTTGCATGCCCAGGACATTTTTCATTCTTCTGCGATATAAAAAGTTGAAAAATATCCTTTGTGACCAGACACTTTGTACATTTCCTAATGGATTACTCATCCTGGGCTACCTTGCTTATCCACAAGCTATTTGGCAACTATAGCAGGTATATGCAAATGCAGCCCTGATTTGTAGCATGGATCTTTTGGGTTAAATCTACCAAGACTTTAGGTCTACCATGACTTAAGGTCTATGCCAGGCTGTCACTGCTGAGCAGAGAAAAACCTTTCTTACTCTCAAATTGGTTCATGCAACTGCCAGGGCCTGACTTAAATGAAAGCAGACAGCACACATTGCTGTACTGCCCAACAGTACTGCCCTGTGCTGCACAGGGTGCCTGCCAAGCACTAGCTCAGATGTCTCCACAAAAAAACCTTACCTGAGGTAACCTATGGTTGTTTAGTGAGCACGTATGCAGGACTGAACTGGCAAGGAAAGCAGTCAAACTTTCAGCATTCCTTTTTGCAGAGACCATGCCCATTAACCAGATGAACAGCTTCACTGCTCAGATGAATGGTTAGACTCTACATCTCTCTCCCCTGTGCTATGTATCTACACAATCTGAAATGAAAAATTAAATATGAAATTGATCCAGCTTCCTCATGCCAGATATTATGAATCCTCTTTATTTTTGCCATGTGCCATATTTTGCCAAAATTAACAAGACCTAAAGTGGAAAAAGCATACAAGAAAGCATGCACTGAGCCTATACTTAATAACAGTATCTGAAAGGAGGATTAAAGCAACACCCATAACATCTCACCATTTGACATCGTCCATCAGTTCTTCGCAGGATGATGAACTGTGGAAGGATGCTGAACACAGGGAGAAAATGAGAAAGCAGAGCTTTGACAGTTCACCTCTGACTAAAAGAGAGAGCATTTAAAATCTGAAATTGTTGATTATTTTTTTTTTTTCCTTTAAGGTACATTGTAAATGATACTAATTGACCTTTTCGAACACTCCAGGTAAGGGAAAAGCACACAGAGGGCACATGTTTACTTGTGCACTCTACTTGTGCAATACATCCTACTCATTTTAATGAAAACTCAACTTTCTAACCAGAACTTGGGGGAAGTCTGCAGACATTCAGTAGCCTAAAACAGCTGGGTAATTAAGGAATTTTTTTCTTAGGGAAGAACTGACCTTGAATCGTGAAACAAATCATTCTTCTCTTACACCGATGGTCTTCTCCTGTCCAAAGCAAAAGAGCAAGAAGCACACACACACATGGTGCCTGTGTGCTTCTGACTGAGACAGCAAGAAAGGGATGAATGCTTAAGTTCATGCACATTTTTATTGAGTAGTAATATAAAATGCTTCTTTCATTGTTACAAGTGCATGCTTTGATTGCCAACATTTCGAAGTCAAATTACAAAGGCAAGGCTGTAGGCTGTAGTGAATTACTTGGGCACTTATACAATTGTTAAAAAATATCAATGGACTGTTTTGTTTCGTTTCCTTTTCTTTTTTAGAATGAACCAGTTGAAACCCGTAACTGATATACAAAGGGAAAAAAGTGAAAAAATTACACATTTTGTGGCACATGACAAAACAGAACAAAATGACTAAACCATTATGACATTAACAGTTATCATGCATTTAGAATTTCACATGTAACTACAAACTTATTTAAATTTCACAAGGTTTGCTAAACATGCTACCCATCTATATGTGCACTGACAAGCTTATGTTAAAAACTTTAAGAATACTCTCCCCCTTAGATTTTTCAAAGCTTTTTTTTGATTACAAAATTTCAAAGGCATTAAGCATTTCTTTTTTAGAGAATATAAAGTACGCCAGTATACATACATTTCCAGTATAAGTCAGACCACTAAGCGCATTACAGTCCCATACAGGCCTATACAGCCATTTTTTTCTTAAAAAACATGCATAGGCAGATTTTTACAGAATATAGATGCTTTTCACTGCACTTAATATGGTGTCTTGTTCACTATACTTAAAAATGCACCACTCATAAATATTTAAATTCAGCAAGCCACAACCAAGACTTGATTTACCAAAAAAACCCCAGAAAACCTCCCAAACCAAACCCCCCTAAATATAAACAGCAAAAAAAGATAAATGTTATCATTATTCCAGTTTTTTTTAAACAAAGAAAAGGATAATTGCTGCCAAATTAGTAAGATAAGTGTTATATTTAAAGAAGGGCATTGAAGCACACTAAAGAAACCTGAGGTAAGCATAATCTGTACAAAATTAAACTGTCGCTCTCGCTCGCTCTCTCACTCTCTCTCTTTCTTTTTTTTTGGCATTTTAAACAAATTCCCAACATTCTTTTTTTTTTTCTTTTTTTCTCTATATTTTTAAAGACTGCCTAATTTATTTCATAGCCATTGTCTGACAAGAGTAGCAAAACATTATCAATAAATAGTCCTTATTTAGTTTGTACATTTTGATAAAAATGTTTCGATGTTGTCCATGTTGAGTGCTGCAACTGTAAACGTACAATAGTTAGTAAGAAATTAAACAAAGTTTTCATGTCCAGTAACATAATAAAAGGCCTTTCAGTAACATATCTAGACGTTCCCAATGCAGTAGGAAAACATGTTCATTCCCCTAACTTCGCAATATATACCAGCATGAGCTTTCATTTTTCTACAAGCATTTAAAGGCATATCCAAAGGAGGTGTCTCTCCCCCACTCCCCCCTCCCACCAAATTAAAGTTGACGATCTCTTCGTAGATGATTTTTGTAAACTGAATCCAACACCTGGCCCCCAGAGCAAGTAAGCTATTATCAGAGGCAAGAACATCCCACTGCTGATATGCAGCAACCCCATTGTGCCCTGCAGCTCAACCCCCCTCCCGGACAGTGGTCACTGAATATTGCTGCTATTACTGCCGTTGCTGTCCGTGCCATTAGTCTCTGTGGAGATTGCCTTGTTGATGGAGTTAAGGTTGGCATCGGATGGCACGTCTCTGCGTGGAGGCATTCGCTCATTAATTCGATCTAAGCCTTTGGCCTCTTCGAAGCTAGTGATCTTATGCTGGGGTGAAAATCCTTTGATAGCTAAATAAAGGATTATTAAAAAGTAAAATTAGCAAGGTAAAACTCTCAGCAGCTTTTCCCCCAACTTAGCAACAAGTGTGAAAGTCCTTCTTTGTGAAGGCGGCAAGATCTGACAACACGACCAACTCCTTACCGTACTCAAGAGAGAGCTGGGGGTTAACCACCACTGTCTTGTGCAACACAAAGATTTTTTTTTTTTCAACACGATCAGCTTCCGATATTTTGTCGGTCCACTGGGGTTCAGCTTAGAACTCTAAGATGCTGACATGAAACTACAGTTTGCAATTAGGAGCCATGCTGAGGGCACAGCCGTGAGCTGGTGAGTTAGCATTTGCCGTCATCACTTACAGCCTTAAGGACATAGCACCTCGCCAGAACAACCTTAACCAGGCAAAACTCCCACCTGGCTTTGAAAGATTGGAGAAAAAAGCAGGGGGTAGTTATGGATGGTGATGACATGGTGAGGCCAGTTTGTGGCATGTACATTAAAGCTATGGCTATGGGAGATCCGAGGTGACCTTCAACAGGTTGCCTTATGTTCTCAACATAGGTGAGCTGCTTGTCGCTCGCTTGGGGAATTACCCTCCCAGACACATCCCTGGACTTCTAGAAAGCAGCTTGAGTCAAACAGCAGTAACGCTGTGCAACATGGACCTGGGATGTTGTCATTTTGGCACATTCTTAACAGTTTAGCTTTGGAAACACACTGACAGAGGACCAAAGTTCCAACTGATCCTGAGGACTTTTGATCTGCCCTTCAGCAGCAACATTAGTGAGGCCACACCAGCCTCAGAGGGGAGCCACAGGCTGGAGAATGTATCAATAGAATGTAATTTTGATTTAATTTTATTCTCTCTTTAATTGAAGTGTTGAAGATCTTTAGATTTAAAGCAAAAGAGAAAAAAGCTCTGTAGGCAAACAGCAGGTCACAGCTCCATAGATAATTTGCCATAGCCTCTGTGTGTTTTTCTCTTATCTGCACCAAATCAATACACTGGATTTCCAGAACTGGCACTTCTGCTATGCCTCTATCATAACACACCTTAGAGCAGAAATGGTGTTTTAGTACCAGGAAACTACAAATGGTAGGGGAGTTGCCAAGATTAAATTCAATATTTCTTCTCCCTTTTTATATTTTTTTTTTTACCCCAAAGTACTCCTGCTCTCCTTCAAATATGCAGTCCTGGTTCTGGACAAGCTGGTAACTTCTGTTAAAAAAATAAAAGCAAACACACCCAAAACCCCAGAACATCCCTGGTACTAATCTACCACTCCTTGCATTTTGAGGGGAAGCGAGAGAAGTGTTTTCATGCTGATAGTTTTGACAGCCACTCCTGTGAAAATTGATAGATCCTGTTTGCCTCAGGATTTAGTTCTTTAGCCAGTTTCACAAATGATATATTGGAACTTTGTGAAGTGCATGGGTTTTAACATGTATATATTCATGTTCACTTCAACTCAGAAAAACAACAACAACATAATGGTGATTAGTCAAGTGAGCAGGGATGGAGCAGTGAAAACAGAACAGGCTCTAGAGTGAGTTTTCTTAAGGATTGGCTTGGGTTTTTTTAAAAAATTTATCTTCTACCACAAAAATGAAGATGCCCAACAAGCACCCAGGCCAACCCCTTAAAGCAATAGTTTAATGGATGGCTGTGTTGAAGCTGAAACACTTGCTGAGTCCTGGAGCTTGCCAGTAGCACAGCCCAGCTGGTGTTACTGGGCCCTAAATCAAACTGCAGAGGGACAACTGGTAAAGGGTCAAACTTTTTCTCCATCGCAGCTTCATCTGTGTAGACTAGCCGTTGTGAATATGGTGACAGTGTCTAACTAGCAAGGAGGGCAAATCAAGAATAAACTGGAAGGGTGCACATTGGGGGCACGTTCAATCGATTGGATTTCAAGTAGACACATTATCATCTGTAACACTAAGGAAGGTGCTCTGCTGTAGTTGCTAGTCAGACAACGAGTATTAGCAGGTTACATTAAGAGTATACTAAAACACAACACATAGTCACAGAAAATCACAGAAAACAGCCAAACTGTCAACAAGAATGCACACTGCAGATTAGAGATTGCCAATAGGAATAGGTAATTCCAACATAAATAGCAGCTTACTCACTGCTATTTAGAAAGCAGTTGTATTTTCTCTTACTTGTTTGTTCTGTAATTTTATTCACTGCTTTACAAAATTCAAAAACAAATTCGACTGGCCAAAAGGGCACATCTTATCAATGGACAGCAATAATCAGATTTTATTTTTTTTAAATTCACTAAGAAAAAAAATACCCACAGAAAATTTGAGAGGGGCAAGAACAAAATACAACTGAAGAATTTTGTTTTAAAGGGGAATTCTGAAAAGTCTTCTTCCAAAACTTTAGAATGCTGAATGAATATTGTGCATGTACATTGCAATACATTGTTACTTCTATTTTAACTGTAGCATTAAAAATTGCTTAAGGGTTAAATTAGAGGTCTGTCAACAAAACACCATAGTTTTCATTACTGAATGTTCAGAAATCTTCCAAGGCAGCCAGTCATTTTATATTTTGTAGCTAAAATGGTGCCTGTGTTAATGCTTGCTCTAATGTAAATATCCAGTGTGTAAACTGCCACTACCAGAGGAAGCAGACGTCTTGCAGACAAATGTCTCATGTTGTTTTACTTTTAAAGAGAAACAGAAACATGCTGAACTGTAACAAAAGACCAATAAAAATTTTTTACTAGTGACCTAAAAGAAATGAAACAAACTGAGGCAAAAAAAAAAAAGAAAAAGGGGAAAAGAAACGAACCAACAAAAAGAGAGAATTTTATAAAATGCTGTGTGTTTTCCTCGATGAGAGATCTCTGAGAATAGTTTGAGGCAGAGACCAGAGCCAGCCTCCAGCACACAGCTTTGGAGCTATGTGTCACAAAGCGTTTACGAGCTGCTGCCGAGTTATGTCCCATGAAATCCAAGTTCCCTGATCTCCTCCTATGGCATTACTCAGTGCTTAGTTCAACATACAGCAATTCTAATGTAATTGTAACTTTCAGAAAGAAAAAAAACCTCAACAGCAGCAACAGAAAGAAAAACCAAAAAAACATTTTCCCCTTTAAAGCAATTACATTTTGGTTAATACCGAGCCACAATTGTTAGCCCAACACCCACACAATCTGTACAAGCTACAGCAAAATGAATACACCCAGCAGAGCCCTTATCTGTTGTGGCACCAACAGAAAGGGGACTGGCCAATTTACCTTCATCAGCCTCAATAGCCTCAACAGTAGCTGAAGAGAAGAAAGGGGTAGCAAAACGAATGAGAAAAATGAGCAGAGGATTTTAACTCTAAAAACAAGTCAGTGAATAGCAAAGGAGCTACAACACTAATGTTACTGTAAGTGCTGGATTTTGGTAAAACAGACACACAGAGAAATGCTTACACAAAACCAATAATTTGCAGATTGAATTAGAGTTTGTTTTTAAGCAGAAGTTTCATGAACTAAAAGTTTTTAAATGACACATTGGAGTAGTTTTCTTTTGAGTTGAACTACAAAATGTAAATGTCTTCCATATTGCACATCTGACCTAAAAAGGTCATTATATAATTCTCCCAGCTTTGAATAAGAGCAGTTTGATTTGTCCTGTCAAAAGAGAACAAAAAATGGCATAAAGCCATCGCACAAAATTCATACCACTTATGACATCAGCCTGAAAAGGTATCAGCTGTCAGTACAAGGCAGAAGAGTCCCATATACAACTTCTCAGAATTATTTTTCTTCTCTCTCCTGACTAAAAGAAACCTCCCCACAGCATGGGACAGAGTTTGCTCAGAAAGCTTTGCCTTTGCTTGCAACCTCACCCGGTCTGCTCCATCTGTAAGCATTCTTTTTGGCAACCCAGTCTCTGGAAGTAGCATTCTTCTAATATTTTATTTAAATCAGTGGATGTAGACATGAGACTGAAAGCTGTTGGACCTCCAAATTTGCACAGCTTGGTCAGAGAGAGCAAAGTTTGTAACTGGAAGGTTGCTGCAGCGTTATGAATACCATGTTACCACTGTTTTGAAACCATTTATTATTCTTAAAGACATCATTTCATTTGAATTCTACCCACCAATTTTGGTACAATTTCTTTTTTTTTTTAACAGACACAGATTTAGAAGCTGATGCAAATCAGCCAATGCAACCCAAGATCAAAAGTATTTTAAAAGAAATCTTTATTTTCAAGACTTTCTCTGGTTTAGAGAATAGCTCAAGAAGTCAAGTATTTAGGAATTTCTCTCTTCTTCATCTTATTTTCCCCTACATAAAACTTTTTCCACCCTCCATAAACCTATACATTTTTTCTGCTTGTGTAGTTAGGATGTTAAATATGGATTGAGATAAATTCTAAAATATCCATACTATTATCTTGTTGCATGAGGAAATGAGAAGATCTAACCCACATGCACCAAGGTAAGGCTATGCCTCTCAAGCTGCAGAGCAAGAGAGATGGCAAAAATCAAGGAACGAAACCAATGTAAACTTATGCAAACTTAAAAGAAAAGGAAGCACAATAACTAGGATGAGAAATTAAAATGAATAACCAGATCCAAACCAGCACTGACACATTAGCAAAAAATGAAGACTAAAATGTATACTTCCACAACAGAACATACTACTCATATTTTCTGTTAATACATATGGTAATATGTGTGCTTAACAGAAACTATGTGAACTTCAGAGTGTTTGGTGAATGGGGTACTACATGTTAGCTAATGCAGAAGCTTGTGTATAGTAATGTTTTACTGAACCAGAATACTGCAGTATGAGGAGATTTTCCTTTTAGCCACTGTAGCAAGACCTTCTGGCAATTTTCTCAAATTCATTTCTATTCCTAATATTTTTCCAGGACAACAATATCAGTTTCCTTGGATCAAATTTTCTGACAAACATAAAGCAACTATATGGAGAAAAGCCTAGGTAATTAAGAAAGGCATCCTCTGAAATCATATTGCAGCATTTTCAAAGCAGAACGTTACTATGTCTGTAACATACAAGTCATCAACAAGAAAAAAGGGCAGGGAAAACAAGGGAAAAGAAGGTTTACCACCATATACCTGAATCTTCTAGGAAAAAGAGACAGTAAAGGGAAAAATACAGAGAAAGAATGCTCCAGAAAGGAAACAGGAAAACAAGAGGCTGAGACTGTGTCAAGGTTATAAAGCATTTCTATTTCGTACATCTACTGCCAACAGAACCTCAATAAACGACAGACCTTTTTGTGTGCCTGCAATATACTCTACAGCAGCACACACAGAAAAAAAGGAGAACTTACAGCAGTAAATTAAATATTTTGCAGCTCCTTATTCCAAGAGGAATCAAAGGCAGCCCTACTATAGACTTACAGATTTCCTGTAACAAGAAGCACTTGGTATAAAACTGAACTGACAATCTGTATTGTGTTTGCGTACAAGGCAAACATGGTGTTTGTAAGAGCTTCCCTTCACTTGGCTTAAATCACAGTGAAATTGTTCTCATGCTGTCAGCTAGAATTGCTAGGAGAGAAAATCTAATTCTAGAGTTATTTTCCATTCGTGATTCTCTATGAGGAAGAACAAATCAGATAAAATAAAAGTTTGAGTGTCATTATCTAAGGCGAACCTTCATGACTCCGTGTATCAAAGGTTGCTCTTAAAAAACCCCCCAAGCTGTAAACT